TCACAAGCACCCGTTTCTCGCTAGACAATCTTCAGATACTCGGGTGGAAACAGCATCAAACAGTAATTACAACCCTGCCGAGAGGTCCAGCGTCATGGACGACACGCTCAATGTCGTCACACTCTTGGAAGCCCATGAAGTCGTAGGGATCAGGCCACGCCGTGGATGCCTCAAGAAGCATTTCCGCGATGTTCATGGCGTGTTCTGCTCATGTTCTTTCATGTCCTTGGTCTGTTGAGGTCAGCACAATGAGCCTTCCACTGCGCCTTCCTTCGCCTGCAGCGCTTGCACTTGCAATTCAAGTCCGAGCGGGGTTGTGAGGCCGTAAGATTGCGCCATCCTCGCAGCCGGAGGGTTCGGAAACTTCCAACACATTTACATGCACTGACCTCTGAGAGCAGCATGCTCTGTTGGGCATGGAGGACCGATGACACAACAGCACAGCCCGTCACAAGACGCTCTCCAAATGATTCGTTCGTTGGACGGTTTCATGGCTGTGTCGGGGCGATTGAAACCAGGCGACAAAAAACCGGTACTACCAATATTTAACTTTTGCAAGGATGCTGCACAGCCGGCCTCCTCTCAGGCCGAACAGATTCCACCTTCAAATGCGCAAGCGCAGGTTCAACACTGCTCCGCTTGTTTGGAACTGAGTTGGCAACCAGAACAGGTTGTACGTCAGGACCTGTTTTCAAGGCCGTCACATATGGCAAAAGCACAAACAGTGTTTGCAACCAGAATTTGACCGTGGACATGTCCTATGGCAAAATGTCAGCCGACCTTCGCTCGCAAGCCACCCTTGCAGCCTCAAGCGGCTCTTCGACGCTAGCCGCTAGTTACTAGTTGGATGTGCGATACTGGTTGTCTTCAGACATGCTGGGATCTTACACACTGAAAGCTAAGGTAGTTTTACGAAGTCGAAGGGGCATGCATAGATTCGTCGAAAAGCATGCCATCCTTGAACTCGTCGTCTTCTGCCGATCTGCCATCTACACATACTTTCCTGTTTGCCTGGTGCTTCATTTACAACGCCTCGTGCATGGTCGCTTGCAACGCCGTATCTGGGGAGTGTTGTGATGGACTCGCAGTGCCTCGCCCAGGACACAATCTGCGCGACTCCAGCCGTGCTCGCTTTAGGGCAGCACTCGGTGGCGCCGTCATGCACCGGCCTCCCGTGCCGAGACAGCACTTGTCTGGTCGATTCTGGTCGCGTGGCGGTATTTCGCGTCAGTGGTGGTGTAGACGAATTTCAGGAAGTTGCAGTCCAACTTCACTAGATGCGCGAGCTCAGAGTTGATTTTCCGGCAGCCTCGAACTGCAAAGGTCAGGACCCTGCCACGGATGTGTCCGGCTCCTGTGCCCAAGAGGACTCCAGCGACCTCTTGGGGAGGCGAGTGCCTTTCCTGGCTGCACCGCCTTGCATTCGGCCGTGTTCCAAAGCTTGCTTTCCGTGCCTTCCACATCGTGCTGACTCCCGTGAAGTTTTGCAGCTGGCGGAGCTGCGAGGGCCACCGTACCCCGCGGGGCGTTATGAAGCACGGCCTCACCCAATTCTTGGTCGGGAAGGGGGGCTGGAATAGAAGAAGGATCTAGTCGGTACCTCGTTGACGAGTTGCGTCGCGAGCGGCTGTGGCTCGCTTGAGGTTTGAGAGCTGCTGTCTGTGACACGCAAGCATTGGCCTCTGCGTGTGGTGTCTCGATGCCTCTCCAAAGGTCATGCAACTCTTCGGCAGTATGGCGGCGGGCGCACTACACTCCCACTACGTGTCCCGAGGGGACACTGGCAGCACCTGAAGCGAACCGACTCCCCTAAAACTAATCATACTAACCCTTGAAGGCACAGGCTGTGGATCGATGAAACAGATCGACTCAAACCATAGAGAAAGTAGGCAAAGGCAAGCTCTCTGCATAAATAGTTCTGGCAGGGAGCTCAAAGACCAGGAGCTGTCTGGAACATGCGCGCGGCACCTTCGGAGACGAAAGACACGCTCCGCATCGCGGCATCGCAACTTCCTGTTTCCATCCGAGCAGCCACTGATGCCCACCAACGACAATGTCCTCAGTCGTGAATGTGCTTGAAGTGACGGAGGCGAGCCTAAGGCCTAAGGCGTAAATTATCAGGACGCTTAAAGCCGTCAAGGGCGACAAACTTGAATGACGTGCACGCAGATTACGCAAAAGCATAGTCCTGCGCATCTCGTGTTGGGTCGTGCGGTGTGGCTGAGCTCCCGACACTGACTCGCCAAAAGTTGGAGGATGCCCAGGTTAGGTTCGCGCGTACCTCGTGACCGCACATGCGTGGAGTTACAGACTCATAAGGGTGGACTCAAAGAGTGGTTTAGCCGTTTAGCCTAGGGTGATCGATGCGCACGCCCAATACAGTGAGCTCACGTGTCTACTTAAGTCCCTCCTCCGACATGCATGACTCTCCGTTCGGAGGACAGGCCGCCGCACTCTGACCGGGCGGACAATTTGTCATTAGAGTGCGAGGTGACAGCACATTCAATGGCACCAGCGATGCCGACAAAGGCTTTTGCCAGATGGTGGCACGGCTATGCACAGCTCGAGCCCAGCGGTACATTTGACAAGGCTTCTCTGGAAAAGTTGGTCCTGACGGAATTTTGCACAGCTGATGCCATCATGTGTCACAGAACAACATGAGAACAACCACAGCCATAGCAAGTTTCCAACTTGCATCTTCTGGTGAGGATATGAGAGGAGTCCTGCTTGTAGCCACAAGATGCCCCAGTCGCATCCACGTTCGCTTCATTCACCCATGGCATCTTCTGGTTATTTGGGCAGCTGTCTTTGACATCATGTTCCGACCATTTGGGAACGACATGAACGGCTGGATTTGGCGAGGTGCTTCCTGATTGCAGCGGTGTCTTCACATTCTGGAAATCGAAACGAGTATCATGCAGACCACCTGAAGATCCTGGGGTGCACCCCAACGTGCAAACTGAATTCGTGGACTCTGGGGCTGCACCAGCCTCAGACAAAGCGGTCAGGTCTGAGGAATCAAGCGATTCGGTCCAAAGGACAGGTGCGTGCATGAGGCAAGATGGTGTATGTGGACCAGACAGGCTGAAGGTGGCAGAAGAGCGTTGGAGGAAGCACGCGAGCTCCAGGGTCCGGAGTCCGGAGCTTTGACGGTGCTCCCAGTGAATGTGCGTTTCAAACTGAAGCCTACAAAGCCAAGACTCCAAATCTTTCAGGGGCACCCTGGCGAGTTCGTCTGCCCGCGCGGTATGGCCTGAAGAAGATTCACCATGGTTGACTTAGACTTGGAGGGTCTGGAAACTCTCGGGGAAATCGCAAATCGACATGTCGCCACTCCGCTTCGGGTGCCGCTTCACGTGCAAACTTCGCACTTCGCAGCTGCTCTGAGCTCATCCAGGGATGATCACTGAGCCGCAGACAGAGCAGCGCTGCAACCAGAAGCTTCCAAGCCATCCTTACAGACAGCAGACGCTATGCCTTCACTCCTGAATTGCATCATCTGCAAAGTAGAAGCAAACGATGCCAGGACTGTCCCAGTCTGCTTTAGGTCTTTAGGTGTCCTTCTACGAGCTTTTCGCCAGATGCGGTCCTCATGATCTAACCGTTTACGTGGACCACAAGAGCAAGCGAGGACCACAGCAATACATGCAGCAAGACCACGCAACCAACTCCGGAATTTGGAAGCCCCCATCCCATCTTGGAAGGAGCGGTTGCCGGATGTGCCGTGACTACTGCGGTCGGCGAGTGCACTGCCGGACTCAACGGGTCCTGCTCCACTCGACTCGCTGAGAACCAACTGGCTGTAGTAAACACCGTGCAGAGATACTAAATTAGCTTGTATGTCTGCTTGGTGGGCAAGGATCAGAACACCTTCTTCGTTAATATCAGATCCTTCGTTCATGTTTGGTATGTTTAGAAGATGAGGTGAGGATAAGAGAAGCCTGTTCCTGCAGCCGAGCTTCGATCCCATTTTGTGCCAGCCAGTGCGAGGGGCCACACAGCGCTGACTTTGAGGCGGCAATGCGGCAGAAGAAGCGGACACGCCGTGTTCAGAGCGGTGAAATGCAACTCTTCCGGCCAACTGACTCTCCAATGCAACCAGCACCTTGAGCCAAGCTTGCCCCAGCACTTTGTTGTTACTCGCCACTTCGTCAGTCCGGGTTCACATGCTCAGCGGGAATGGAGACGCCTTGCTCCCGCAGCGCCTCAACAACGAATTGCTCGCGGGGAGGCAACAGCAGAATTTGATCGGCATGCGACAGTTGCACATCAGGAATAAGCTGAAGACTCCGAGGAGGCTGCGCAGGTTGGTCCCCACGCCCCAAGTCCTCAAAGTGTTTTTGATTGATCTGGACTCTTAATCTATGTATTTCAAGCGCGGCACGATTCATGATTGGACTATCTTGCCGATGGGGCATGGGCTCAATTACGGCTTCTCTTCGTTGAGCGGTCTCCCCCCACCCCCGCCAAGCCCCGACGATCTATTTGCCCGTGTCAGCCGAAGTACGTGTCACTGAACCTGGGTCCCGGCTGGTAGATCCGCATCCAGCCGGCGAGTCGGCGCAACCAGCTTCACACCTGCTCGCACTACAGTGGTAAGAGTTCAGAAGGTCGGCATCACCCGCACTTGAAAGTTGATCTTTTGTCGACATTCGCTGCAGATACGTTCGGCCCAGCCTTCAGGTTCAGATCGCGAGACCAGACAGGCATTGGAGTCGAATGTCACGACTTATTCTCGAGGCTGCAGATCTGCAAACTGCAAGCCTGTGCGGCAGCGCACTACACAAATCAACGAAGGTGTCAAGCAATTCTGCGAAGCCTGCGCAACAGCCGTTACTGTAGCCCGCGTCCCAGCACCTTGAAAGCACCAGACACGGAAGCCGCACGAAAATTCGACGTGCAAGCACGGACTAATCGCCCTTCGGAGCTTCGACAGCAAGGCAGCGCACTCTTTTGCTCTAGGAGACTTAGCCAAGCCTTTTGGCCACCTTGGCGTCCTCTCACGCACGCAGATATCGCTCCAAGGCTGTCTCACCACCTTCAGCTCGAGGACCAGCTCTTGCTCTGCCACCGCTACCGCTACTGCTACTGCCTGCGGACACATGGGAGCCTTTGCCTGTGCCTCCGGAGCGAGCTGCACTCTCGGGAAGTCCTGATCAAGGCGCGGTTCTGTGCCGCTGAGACGCCGAGACAACAGTCAGCAGTCCAAGCAAAAGGCTTTAGCAACTTTAAGCAGGCTAAGCTGCACTGCTAATTACACATCCGCATAACCGGAAAAGGAACATGCTTGGGAAGGAAAGAAAGGGCTTGGAAGGACACAAGGCCTCAGCTGCTAGCAGCCACACCCCGCCGGGAAGGCTTGCGAAATGATCACATGTCTGCTACAACTAAAGGGACTTTCTGAGTAGTGCTGCAGGTGCAGTGCATGATCGTGCCTGTGTCCTCTTGCAAATTTTCCGAACCAGCATTTTCCGGATCCGGACAGAAACTGTAAAGAGTCCTCGGTCTGACGGAGTGGCAAAATTGTCACTTGGTTAATATTCATAGCTAAATACAATCCTTCGACACAGGGCGACCTGTGTGAAACGGCAGTGCTGTCTTGGACTTATCCGAACTCAGCAGAGGCTTACGCCGAAAGCCCTCCCTACCACCCCACCAAAGCACGCCCCCCACGCTTTGCCCCACGACCTCGAGATTCTCACATAGGATTTTGGGTTCCAATGAAGGACATTCGCTATTTGGCTCGCAGCTCTGGTGGGTTGTGGCTCCTGCAACCTGTGCTAGGCACTTTTAAGTGACTGTCATGCAGTACTATATGTTCAAGATTCACAAGCGAGACCTGCTTGCGGATCGACTGCGCCGAGCCGGACGAGGCTGAGCGTTGCTAGCCTAACTCATTGAAACTTAGAGCAACAATCGCGGAGTCGTCCTGGAGAACGTTGCTTCAGAAAGTACTCGTGCATCTGCACCACGGCATCCACAGGAGGCTTCTGACCCGAACCGTCTGCCAGCACGCAGACAGGCATGCCCGAAGAACTGCAAGCGTCCAGAAAGTCCCGCGGCCGCGCTATTGGTGGATCTTGGTTTTCAGCGCGCAGCCAAAGCACTCGACGGCCCGAATCTGCCCCTAAGCTCTTCAGCTTCGCACAGTCCGTCGAGCGAGGGTAGCCTTTGCTACGATGCGCGGCTTCAATCAAAAGCCACAGGCCAGCTTCTGACAGTGAATTGTTGCTCAAATGAAGCTGCATTAGAGGTCGCCCTTGATCCGCGGCATCACGAATGTGCGCAGCAAGAGTCTCAGCTGCAGAGTCGTCGTAGCGATTCTTATGCAGCCGCAGTGTCGTCACGTGCAGCGATGCTTCACGCAGGCTCTGAAGCATTTTGGCCAAAGGTTCTGCTTGGCTTAGACTGTTCTCTGCTAGGTCGACTGCGCATTCCACCGCACCGGCAGGAGAGCTGGGAAGCCGTGCGAGTAACTTATCCAGCTCATGGATGGCCCTTCCTTCCAATTCTGCATCATCCATACAGGCTCCGGAGCCGTGAATGCAAATCACCCCGTCACCTCGCTGCACAACCTTGAAAGGCATACCGGACGCTGTTGTCAGAGTCTCGTACTTTCCTTTTCCCTTGCCGTTGCCAAACCTCGCAGACGGACCACCCATGCCACTTTTCGACTCCTGACCCTTTGCGCGGCCACTGCCCTTTGCAGAGCTTCGTGTGTGCGGTGCTGACAAGAAGTACTCGTGCATCTGCACCACGGCATCCACAGGAGGCTTCTGACCCGAACCGTCTGCCAGCACGCAGACAGGCATGCCCGAGGAACTGCAAGCGTCCAGAAAGTCCCGCGGCCGCGCTATTGGTGGATCTTGGTTTTCAGCGCGCAGCCAAAGCACTCGACGACCCGAATCTGCCCCTAAGCTCTTCAGCTTCGCACAGTCCGTCGAGCGAGGGTAGCCTTTGCTACGATGCGCGGCTTCAATCAAAAGCCACAGGCCAGCTTCTGACAGTGAATTGTTGCTCAAATGAAGCTGCATTAGAGGTCGCCCTTGATCCGCGGCATCACGAATGTGCGCAGCAAGAGTCTCAGCTGCAGAGTCGTCGTAGCGATTCTTATGCAGCCGCAGTGTCGTCACGTGCAGCGATGCTTCACGCAGGCTCTGAAGCATTTTGGCCAAAGGTTCTGCTTGGCTTAGACTGTTCTCTGCTAGGTCGACTGCGCATTCCACCGCACCGGCAGGAGAGCCGTGAAGCCGTGCGAGTAACTTATCCAGCTCATGGATGGCCCTTCCTTCCAATTCTGCATCATCCATACAGGCTCCGGAGCCGTGAATGCAAATCACCCCGTCACCTCGCTGCACAACCTTGAAAGGCATACCGGACGCTGTTGTCAGAGTCTCGTACTTTCCTTTTCCCTTGCCGTTGCCAAACCTCGCAGACGGACCACCCATGCCACTTTTCGACTCCTGACCCTTTGCGCGGCCACTGCCCTTTGCAGAGCTTCGTGTGTGCGGTGCTGACAAGAAGTACTCGTGCATCTGCACCACGGCATCCACAGGAGGCTTCTGACCCGAACCGTCTGCCAGCACGCAGACAGGCATGCCCGAGGAACTGCAAGCGTCCAGAAAGTCCCGCGGCCGCGCTATTGGTGGATCTTGGTTTTCAGCGCGCAGCCAAAGCACTCGACGGCCCGAATCTGCCCCTAAGCTCTTCAGCTTCGCACAGTCCGTCGAGCGAGGGTAGCCTTTGCTACGATGCGCAGCTTCAATCAAAAGCCACAGGCCAGCTTCTGATAGCGAATTGTTGCTCAAATGAAGCTGCATTAGAGGTCGCCCTTGATCCGCGGCATCACGAATGTGCTCAGCAAGAGTCTCAGCTGCAGAGTCGTCGTAGCGATTCTTATGCAGCCGTAGTGTCGTCACGTGCAGCGATGCTTCACGCAGGCTCTGAAGCATTTTGGCCAAAGGTTCTGCTTGGCTTAGACTGTTCTCTGCTAGGTCGACTGCGCATTCCACCGCACCGGCAGGAGAGCTGGGAAGTCGTGCCAGCATGACGGACATTCTTCTGTCCACGAAATCCTGCCAATATCTGCCAACGGCAAAGAACCACGAGTTTATGCTATGTCAACTCTGCGATACAAGTACTTGCCCATGCCATGCGAGACCTGCACATTTATTCGACGGCTAGCGTGTCAATCGAACCTCCAACTCCTCATCATCCAATGCAATGCTTGCCCACTCCACTGCAACAGAGCCATCCTGCCATTGAATTCGAAATGGCTGTCTTTGGGCTCCCAAAAGCACTCCGAAAAGCCATACCGCCAATGCCCTGCCTGCTTCTGGATGATGCACGGTTGCACTGAGCCCTTCCTCGGCGCAGTCCGGCAGCTCCGATAGAAGGACCGAGTCGAAGCTACAAGTAGAATCCGCCGAGGCCGGAGGATGCATTTAGATCGGTTTCATTGCATTTCATGTAATTTCATAGGATGAAATCCTACCCACCCCTTGGCCACCCTCCACGACCCCCTCGACTGGTCCGGGTTTAGGTTTCAAGTTTTGAAAACATTTTTTTGCGGGGGGTAGGTAGGAGGAGGACCTGTCATCTTGACGGTTCTGTCACTGGTATGTGCAGCATGCTGGGCTCGGGTCCCATACTTTGGATGCGATTCTGAGTTTTGTGCTGCAGCCTTTTTGTCCCCCCTGCCCCGCCCCCCGCTGCCGCTTCTTGCGGCATGACTGCACCGGAAACTTAAACACTCAATCCCAAACCGTGGCCTTGGACAGTTCTATTTGTCCCATCGGCTGCTTGCTGCGGGCGCACATACCAGAACTCGGAAACGGCTCCGAGCCGGCTGTCGCGCTAGCGGTTAAATTCCCTGCTGCAGAACAACAGCTCTGACACAGTACAAGGACAAAGCCACACTTGGAATGGGGGTCTCGGCGATGCTGCTGAAATGTTTGCCTCTCAAGCAGGTCCCTGACACACTTTCTACTGTGCTGTCACACTGACCCTTGCTCTGCAGACGGCCAGAATGCCGTCTCCACAGGCAAATGGGCAACAGTCAGGGTAGAACTTGTCATTTAAGGAGACATCCTTCTCCGCAATTTGGATGCTGCAAAACGTAGACATTCGACATCTAGCCGGCCGACGAAGCTGCTTCTTCGGACCACAAGAAACACCCATGAACAACCTCGTGTGAGCTTTCGACGGCTTCCCTGCGAGCCCCCCGCAACAGGGGCTTCTCCAGCAAAGAGGGGAGCAAGCATTTCCAGGTCTGCTACCAAAGGCATCTGCATTAGCTACGCCGCTAAGCCTTTCATTCATCTTAAGAGAGATGTCGTGGTCCCAACCCAAACCAACGAAAGGGTCCCGCTGGCCCACGCCGAGCACCAGCACCATTAGCTTACGCCCTCTTGTGATCGCGGGGGGGATGTTGCAAGCGGGCTGACTGCAGCAAGCTTCCCCGCCGATGGCACCGGAAGCGCTGCAAGCCTTTGCGGCGTTCCGTCCACAGGCGGGACCTTCTTAAGGCCCATGGCTTTTAGCTCCGACCCGAGCTTGCACTAGAATCTTATCAACAGCTTACAATAACAAATAGCAAGGAACCAAGCGCGTCAACCACCATGTCTTGATAAAACTTTGCCATCGTGATCAAGGTCGGATTTCGAGCCGGAGGCCGCAAGTCTGCAAACAGTTGGAAGGAATTACGTCTTCATAGTCTTGGTGCGCTTTCCAAGCCGCTAGCATTGGCTCTTTTGTTGTGCCTCATCCATCCACGCTCCTCAGACCTCACATGCAAGCTCCCGGACATGCGCTTTTCGCTGGGCGCGCCTGAAAGGCTCTGGCGTGCAAGGTCTTCCATGGCCTGGTTCAGCAATGCATCAGCCTGCTTAGTGCAGAGGGCAGGGCTTCTGCATATGCTCTTGGACTTCGAATCCTTATGCGCTGTTTCGTAAGATGGCTCGCAAGCTCTTGCACACGGTCACTGTTGCTGCCGTGCCCTCAGCCCACCAACAGGACCAACTCCACCCAACCCAAGCAGCGTGCAGAGAAAGCCTGCCGAAGTCGACCAGCCGGATCTGTAGCCTCGCGCCACTGAAGCACTGCTTCGGACAAACACCGCTTCGTGCCCGCCAAACCAATGGACACCTCTGGGTCAGTGGCCACCAGGCCAATGTAACCTGAGAACGATGCAGAAAGCATGTCCGCAAAGATTGCCTGGTAGCCTGGGATACATGCCTCAGTCTCCAATATTCTCGAGCCCTGTGCCTGCCGGCCTTGTTTATTTGTGCGGAGGGTCGTGCTCTTGGCGGCGCATCGATGTTCTATCGAACGACTGGCATAGTCCAGTGTTACCCCGGTCGTCCAATCCCATCTCAGCAGCAGCGGCAGCAGGAACCGCACAGCCACGGGAGTTGTGGAAGTCCCCATTCTATCGAGCTCCGCTTCTTGAGATGGAGCTGGCCAGAGCCATCCACAGCCCAAAGGGCTGGTCGACTCGGCTCAAGTTTGAACTTTTCTGTTTTCCAGCGGGATTAGTAGCCCAAGCTCTCAATGACAGCCGGAGCTTAGCCGTGCATGCTCTCGAAACAGGGAAGGTTACAGTGTTGCATACTGCTGTCTCCTGACCTCCGTCAGCCTCTTCAGCCGAGAAACTTTTTCCTGTCTAAATTTTTTCCCCCTCCTGGTGGAGCTGCATGGAAAAACAATGTCCAACTGTAAGTAGACACAACAATCAAGGCTGCGCAAGGAATGACATCTTGCCACCCTGCCAACATCATGCGCACTGCGATGCCTGGAAGGCACGATGGTTGATGTCGGCAGTGGCCTGCAGCCTGCATAGCAGGGTCTGCGGCAGGCGACATGAGCCCATGCAGGAAATGAAGTGCTGCCATATTTGACACATGAGCGAGCCCATCAACCTCCTCCGGATCGGGGTACGCGGAATGCCTCGGAGCCACATCCAGAGGACTGCATGGCGCCGTCAGGTCATGGGTACGGGCTCAGACGAGTCTGACAGCTGCATTGCCCGAACCAAAGCTTCGTTCTCCTGAAACAAGCTGGAACTGGACCGAAGAGTGCCGCTTCGTAAGCACGAAAGTCATGCACAGCCATCAAGCACAGCACCACCAAAGTTACTTACCTGCTGACGTACTTACTTACCTACTTACTCTCTTTCTTGCTTTTGTGTTAGTTCTGTACTCATCTGCTTCCACACCCGCCAACACGTCCCGCAGCCCTACCGAGACGGCGAAAGAAGACATGGTCAACCCCCGAACGATTGAGTTTACTGATGTCCGTAGAAGAGCACCCCCAACCGGCTAGAACGTCATGCACCAGTGATGGGCATTGACAACAGCTTGAAACAACGTGTCCTCTCGCAGGGCAGCAGCTGCTTCCCGAGCCTGCAGATCTCGGGTCAACGGGACCGGCTGGCAGACATGCAGGGTTGGCTGCCCGTGATGCAAAAAAGGTTGCCCGACATGCCAAACATACGGTTGTTTTGAAGCGTTCGGCCTACATGCCAAAACCGACGTGCAGGGTTGGCAGTCCGAGATGCAACAACAATTTGCTTCTCGGGCAGCCAACAGCACAGTGGCTGCCCAATCCCTGCGACCGGACAACCTGCACGCCACGCAGCGACATCTTTCAAATGTCTTCGTTTCCGTGTGCCTGATGTTTGATCCTGGGGGTCTGGGAGGCTAGGTATGACGAAGCACGCCATTGTAGGAGATGCCCAAAGGCGGTGAAAAAAGGCTTGATCATTGGGTCACGGTGAGCGCTTAACGACCAGCTTGAGGGCTACAAGCAAGTTGAGGGCAAACTTCGCATGGTTTGGAGCTTGGGGGCCTGACATGAAGTCCGATGCTTTCGCTTTGTTAAAGAATTCTTGTCTGCTAGCCCGGAAGTGTCTTGTTGCTTTGAGTCGTTGGGTCTTTGAGTGCTTGGGGACGGCTTTTCGGCCGAAGGTCTCCCCATTTGCTGCATGCCCATTTGTCGTGCAGTTGCCCTGGCTGAGTGCACACTCAGATGAGATTCCTACTTAGCTACTTAGATTCTGCTCCAGGTTGTGGTGCCGACACACATCACACACGTCTGTAATTAGTGCACGCCTGCGGCTGTATCCAACGCAGATTCTGTGCCCATGAAAGTGAAAGTGAAGTTTACTCCACACCCAGTACTGCCGTGGCCGATGTTTGGGGCTGCCAGGTCGAGGTGCAGAAAACTTGTGCATCTCGGACTTTCCAACCCCAAATGTCGGCCTTTTACTACTTTGCTATTTTCCCACTTTGCTCCGCATCCAGTCCGAGACGCAAACATGTTTTTTAATCTCGGGCAGCCAACCCCCAAATGTCGGCCTTCTACTATTTCACTACTTGGTAGCTTACTAGTTTGCTCCACATCCAGTGCTGCCGTGGCCGATGTTTGGGGTTGGCAGCTCGGACCGAAAAACATCGGCCGCCAAATTTTGTGCATCTCGGGCAGCCAACCCTGCATGTCGGCTAGCCTGTTGGCATGTCGACCAAACGCATCCCGCCAGGACTACCGCTATTTTCCTAGATTCTGCCAGTGAGACACGGACCGGCGTGGACACAAAGCCGTTTATGAGATCGCTGCACTGAAGTGGCCTCGTCGCGCTGAGCCATGGCCCTGGCACGGTCAACCTGTTTTCAAAGCTCATTCCGGCAACTCTCCGACCACATAAGAATGTTTGCATTGCTTGGCACGCAAGCCAAACATTCAAACCCAAGCAGCTGCATTAGATGTGTGGCTCCAACAAGCTACAGTTGGGCCGAGGTGCAACACACTGAGGAGTAAGGCGGAAAGGGGGGGAAGGTCAGCTCTAGCCGAGCGAGTCCAGTCGGAAGAACACCGTGAACGCCGTACCTCTGCATCAAGCAGCTCCCCTTGTAACTTCAGGATGAGGGCCTCAATGGCACTCTGCATTGCTGCCGATTGCTGCCCTAAAATAGCTGCCGAAGCATGGGGTCTGGCCTTCATCTCTTCCTGATCATTTTCATCTGCTTCGGTGGAGGCAAGAGAGGCGGATTGTTCTCCTGAGCAGGCTAACCGGGTCAAACCTGCCTACATTACCTGCGGCTGTGAAGTCAAAAGTTTGCATGTGTGACAGGCGAGCCTGGCATGTTCTCAAGCCTTGGACGCACGCAGAATGCCACGCACAGTGCTCATCAGCGTTGGATGCTTTCCACGCTGTGTGTCAGACTCTCTGCCGCCCTCACCATCAAGGTTGTCAACCTCACATTCCTGTCGGTGCAGGAAGGGTAGGAACGTCCTGGGCATGCCCTTACTTGCTGTCGGACGAGCCTCCTCCCCCCAAGACCTGGCGAGATGTAATTCTGGCTGTAGCAATCTACATCTGAACTGGATCTCTGATGATCTTCGGATGGCTCCGGTTGCTCAAGGCTCCATGATGAGTTGCAGACCCTGTCGAGTTCTCACATTCTGGAATTGACCTAAGCGAAACAATTTTTTTGTGAAGTAAGCGGGCGAACATGTCATGAGGCACGCTGGTTTGCAGGTCGACGAAGCCCCCAGGGCTCCACTCACTCTGTGCAAGCCACAGTGCCGCCGCGACAATATCAAAATTCAGAACAGCAACCCCAACATGAGAGGTGCAGGGCTCAGGCTCAAGTCGAAGTTGCGGCTGGGGCTGTGCCTGTGAACAGCGGCAGCTTCTTGCCATAATTCTCAGCCCCAGCTGGTGAAGCTTCTAAACAAAATCATCAGCAGCCATCTCGTTCCGCAAATGCCTTTGCAAACTGCAAACATAGTCAATGTCAATGGGTCGCTGCCAGACATGTGGAAAGTGCTCTCCCATCACCACAAGTGTTCAGCCCAGCTGCGCGGTGTTGAGGCATGAGAGAACCAAAACTCTGTGAGTAAGATACAAGATGATACAAGCAACCGGGTACTCGCTACGGCTGGTCGTTAAGATTGAAAAAACGACATAAAACTCACAATCCGGAGGCCCTCCCCAATTTGACTGAAAGCGTGACTACGGAATGGGCCAGGTGGGCCGTCCGGACAACATTCACATCGTTTTGTACTAGATGACACATTATAGAGTTACAATTGTACGCATATTATGTGTTTACTTGACAATGCATACTACATACTATTTGACACATGACATTTTGTGATTTAGTGCATATAACATACTTTGCAGTATTTACTATGCAGCAGATGAAAGGTTACGGAAAGTGCCGTTAATACATAATTGTGCATTTTCACATGCACTAAATAAAGCGTGATGCATATAAGATACCCAAGAATGCCAATATGGTCGCGGATGGATATGTAAGGCATGAAATGTATTACAGCTTATACAGAGCCGATATCATGCAAAACATAATATAGCCAATCCGATATAACGCACCATTGAATACAAACGTACCCAACACCTACGCTTTGTACATGCCGAGCATACCCATTGCGATTCTTTCACATGTTACATGTTTTATGTCGATGCAATTTTTTATGTGGTTTCAACTGTTCTTTATGTGTTGTCGTGCACCATAGACAATAACTTGCGACATGTGTTGGTGTTGTATGATCTTTATTTAATGCACAAAAATATGACTTAATCTTAAATACTACATGTTTTAAACTATATAATACATGAAATCTAGTTCATAGAATATAGTGTAAGGTATTTAATGTTTAACATAGTAAATCCTATGCTATATCTTAAACTCCTTTTCCGCGCCTGCTTCTGCCAAGGATCCCGAGCCGGCAATCGCCGGTGAACTGAAAAGACAGCCGGACAGGCTGGAGGAAGAGCCTTGCAGCAAAAGCACCGAAAGTCGGCACCTAAACCGAAAGGGAAGGGCCTAAACTTTAGACTTTAGGGTCTCAAGGCAAAGTGGGTCCGCAGAGCCGCAGAGAAAGGGCGAGGCCCGAAAGATGCGCTCTGATGCAATTGCCTCCGTGGTCGCGCCGTCGCATATCGGTGCCCAGCAAGTTCGCGCGCTCGTTGATGCTGCCTCGCATCGCCGCGGCAGATAATTGAAGTGGACTGCGTCCAAGGAGAAAGGAGATGGACCCACCTTGCCTTAAGACCCTAAGGTTTATGCCCTTTCCCTGTCGGTGTAGGTGCCACCTTTCGATGCTTTTGGTGCAAGGTTCTTCCTCCAGCCTGTCCGGCTGTTTTTTCACCTCACCTTCGCAACTTTTGTTTCGTGGAGTCTGCAAAGCCTGACTCTAAGTTGAGAGCGCCAGGACGAACAGGAGGTACGAAATGGGCTCAACGTCGCCTGCCTGCCATCAAAAAAAGGAGGCGCAACCAGCGCCCTGCCAGCCGCGGAGGCAGCAACATGCAGCAACGACTATGTCAAACCGCGCGTTTTGTAACCTTTGACTAGGTCCTCTAGCCAGCGAAGCCACGCCCTAGTTGGTGGAGACACGGGCTTGCCTCGTGAGGGGCCGTCGCTCCGGTTTTTGGCCGAGTAGACATGAAGGCCCCCTGGATCCGCCCAGCACATAAGGGGATGCAGAGCTACACCCGACTGAGCGCAGGCCTGCTTGAACTGCCCTTGGCAGAAGCCCCCAGCAGCACTCTTGAGTCTATTAGCCCCTGCAGTCTTGAGTTGCGATGCCGGCGAACACACCATTTCAACCAAGTCGTGTAGCACCGGGATGTGCCCACGCTTCTGAAAGCAGCACCGAAAAAGATCTTGGAAGGACAGTTCGTCGCTTAGCTCGCCAATCCATGTAGGATCATCGTGAAAACGGCGGGGCTAGTAAACCTCAGAACTTAAGATACTTAAGGGGGGCAGAGGACCTAAACCGCCTGACAAAGACAGGGCAGGGACCGCGCCGTCTCGAGCAAACAGGCTCCCAGAGACAGCCCGCTGCAGTCACAAAGGACGGCGGCGAGCGAAGCAGGAAATGGTCTCCGACCGAAGGTGAAGCACCGAAAATCGCAATGTTTGAAGGAGAGCACCGGGACTCAAAGTTGACACGGTCTCCGAAGTGATAAGTGCCCTCAACGCGAAAGACCCGGGGACACGTGCACGTACTGGCGAGTTCCAAGCAGCCAATCTTTGTTGTGAAGAATCTGCAGAGGTCGCTTGAAGGGAGCGCCGACAGCGCAGCAGCAAGAGCGGGTGAGGACACCGCCAAGACCCGCCAAGACGCGCCAACTGGCCAAAGCAGCGCATGAAAAACATTGAAAACATCACGCTTGAGCCGGGCTGCTCAATAGAGCAATGGCCGCCACTCGAAGCGACCAGGCAGCAAAGGAAGGCCAACTGCCGGGCCAAGCTAGTATCAGCCGCAGAGCGAGAGCACGCAGCTCGTCGTAGACGCCAGCAGCAGAACGCAGCTTGTGGAAAAACAAGACTCGGGGACCACCGCCGGGCTCACGAACAAATTCCCGGCGTGCACACGCAGCCCAGCTGAAGCATATGCAGTGCTCCAGCCGCAAAAATCATTAGTTATCACACGAGTTCAGGCGCGGCTACGCGCGCCTTCCAGACACTCCGGGATTCACATCAGAGGCCTCACACGCATGCAGCTCCCGACTCAAGTGGATAAGTGGTCTCGCCGCCTGAGCCCCGCGGCCTGAGAGGAGGTCGTTCTTTGGCAGGGCATGGTCCTCCTCAACCGGAAGCGGATGAGCAGCCGGATCGCCGCCGGCAATCCGGGCTGCCAGAACTCCTTGGCATCATACGCTAGGTTCGCTGACGTGCAGGCGCTTCGGATCGGCCGAAGGGCCGTAGGCCGCCGGCTCATAGCAGCGAAGTTGGGGTCGCTGAGCCCCGTCAACAACCACGACCGGAAATGGGCGCATCCTCCTTCGACCGAGCATTGGTCGCAGAAGACGAGCAGCTTGGCCATTCAGCTCTCTAGGCTCAGATTGCCCTGCGTGCCATCCAGATGGCCAGCGACTCCATCAGGGCTGGCATCTTGCGTTCCACACAAAAAAACCACGAGGAGATCCACCCCCATCACCTCGGCACCCTTGCGTTGCACGTCGGCAGCTGTGGCCCAATTGTCCCCGAGCACTCGGACAGACGCGTCTCTGGCAGCAGAACCCGCTCTCGTCCTTGGTCATGTCAAGGGGGCCCTCGCGGAACAGGTTCGCGGATTGGGCAGCTCGGGAGAGTGGACTGCTCGAGGAAGAGCAGCACGTGCTTTGCTGGCTGAGCCACGGCGTTCCTTCGCAGACCGATGCGCTATTGCATTGCCCGGCTGCAGATCAAGAAATGGCCGGTCGTGTTGTGACCGAGGCTGACCGAGGAGGACGTGCGAGAATATCTATGCGACCTACAGGAGCAACCTACTTGGCGGGCGACGGCCTTCATTCGAGCTCGCCGTGGCTTCCTGGCAGCTTTGCCCCGTGACCGAGGGAGGGCGACGAGGACCCTGTGTTCTATGGAGAGAACACCGCGGCGGAAGAGTTGGGACCGTGGACATTTTCCTGGCCGCTGTGCCCTGCCGCTTTCTGGCCTACTTTCGGAAGGCTGTCGCTGGGCGCACTGCAGGACCCGACCATTCACGGTACTCCGTCCCAAAATCGGTTGATCACGATCACGGTGCCCGGCTGCACGGGTGTCCGCACAGGAGGACTCCAGAAACGGAATTCAATAAGGAGTTCGAGAACCCAGGGCTGCCTTCAGCATGCTCCAAATTATATTTTCAATTCTTCTACATTGCTCTAGGCATGATGCATATTGAATGCTTTCTAGTCTACATTATGCAATGTTGCCTGTGTATTTTAAAGGGTATGCCATTTGTACATACACTCATATACCAGATGCTGGATCTTGTCTATTCCATATTGTATCCTATACATCATACGCTATGTTACATGGTAGAAAAGTATGCTTTCTTGTATGTTGTGTGACATGTTCTCATGGCACATCATCGCACAATAAAGTATGCACTCCATGTTCCAAACATGCGTTATACACTATTAGTATAGTATACGGCCGCATGATATGGTCTATGTTATATGACAAAAGCTAGTACGTTATGTTGTGATGTTGCATACGTTTGTTGCTTGCTATATATAAATATATATATATATATATATATACATATATAACATATATATATATATATATATATATATATACGTATATATATATATATATATACATAGAAATACACCTGCCGTTGGGACATCTTTCTTTCTCCTATGTTACAACTATTGTCCTCTATTCCTATTGCTTGCTTGCTCTGGCACTCCGAGCTTGTTTTCCCGTCGTAGTCGTCGTTTGGTAGCAGCACCCGGGGCTGCTCGACCAAACTGGGACATACTGAGACGTATTCGTGCATGCTCGGGGATGCTTGGGCGTACTCGGGTGTATTCGTACATACTCGGCATACTCGAGCGTACTCGGGCACCCTCGGGGCTACTCGAGCGTACTCGGGGCTACCCGTGCCGGTATTCGATCGCCTGTCCCGAGTGTTTGGGTCAGGCAACCGAAGTTTGACTAAACAATCTGAACTGTCTCCAAACAGTAACCTCTGGGAACACTGTTGGGAAAGGTAGGCTATCAAACACCACAAGTGCTCACTGAATACCCCTTTCCCTTGCACATCCTCATTGCCGTCATTGCCTGAGGAAGGCTCAGACTCTGCTGCAGCTGACGCATGCGGTGGAAGCGCTGCAGCTCCTGGAAGTGTGACGGTCAGGGGTGAGGGTTCAGGGCTCTGCAAGGGCAACCGGCCACGCATTGACTCGTCTCCTGCATGGCTGTTGCCATCTCAGATCGGCAACCTGATGCTGAGCTGAGACGAGTGACTTGGGTTTCCCAGTCCCAAACACAATGCCAACCATCGTATTTGAGACGCTGACGCTGTGCCGTGAGAGCTTCTGCCTTCCGCAAAGCACTTGATGAGGTTTCTGAGTTTCTCAATTAGCTCAATTACACCGAACTGCAGCGAGCCTTAGCTGTAGCTTCATATGCCAAGCTCCACTCCCGCATCCTTGGCATGCGACAAGGGATCCTCAAATTTCTTTTCAGATCCACAAACCTCGTCAACTCTTCTTCGACACAAGCAGCACGGAAGGCCTCGGCCACTGGCGGAAAGACTACAGCACTGCACGCTTTCCATGCATGCGATCCTATGCGATCCTTTCGGCAAATTGCCTGTGCTGCACTCTCTTCACTGACTGCCAGAAGCTGTGCCTGCTGAGCCTGGTCGCTGCATTCAATTTCAGATTACATGCCACAGCGGGCAGCGGACGGTGCGGCTCCCTGCCTCCACTATTTCCGATCGGCGCGATGCCAGTTCTTCACGAGACTCCAGATTGGGCACCTCGGGCTTCTGGATCCGGGTGCATGTCGAGGCAGGCGGAGTGATCGAGCCTCTATGCTTTCCGAAACTTTCGGGGGAAGCAATTCTGTGCGTGGGAGAATCAGGTTCAAGTCTATTCGTGGCGCTGTGGGGTTCGGCACTTTGGTTTGGACCAAACGGGTTTGGCCGCTGTTCCCGTGAGGCGTGCCCAGTAGGCCATCCTGCGCTGCTGCAGGGCGAGGTGCACATTTTCGACTACATTCGCACTCTTCCCGCAGAACAGTCCCGCTGATATTCACATTTCATCCAATACATTGGCACATTTTGGCATTTCCCTGCTTGATCAATCTCGCTCCCCCTCCACAGTGGCATGCATTTTGGAGTGTTTGCGCCACAGTCTCGTGCGTTACACTTGCCGAAATCGATCTGGTGACATTCGTCTTTCCTCCCAGCATCGTGCTAATGCCAATTTATGGTGCAAGTCGTGCCCCCACCAACGATGATGTATGCTTTTGGGTGGCGATCGTGCTCCCGCCACGGTGTGGTGCGTTTTGGGATTGCAGAGGTGAGCCGGAGAAATTCTTTCGTGGGTACGTAGGGTTGGGCAGCTACCACTAGTAGCAGTGGCTCTTCACTGTTTGGGAATATGCTAGCATAATAATTTGATCTTCAGCTTCACGCTGCACCAGCCGAATGAAGCCTGGCACAAGCCATACAGCCGCTTAGTAGCCTGCATCAACAAAGATATATAAGCCCAAGCGTTTGCCAACAACGAAGCCACGCTCCATGCAAGAACAAATTCAAGAGCTACATGACGCTGGCTCGGAGCTCAACATAATGCTCAGATGCATATCGGGTGCCTAGCCGCAGATTACACGGTTCACAAGGCGTATATTGCCTATATGAGTGATATGCAGCTTCCATGCACTTCGGGGTGTTGTCTAACGGTAAAGCACAACAGAAGTCACGTTGATGAATAGGCACGTCGGACCGGCCCACGCCACCAAACACAACTTTCTGGCCCCGTCCCCACCATGGCCGTGGCACGGACAGACCAGGTACTGTTCCCCACTGCGAGACCCCCCCGAGTGATATCTTCTCTTCGTTCCATCTTTAGCGCACGCAATTAACGCCAACCACCATTCCATCATCCACATCCGCTCTGGCACGGCAACACCCTCCGTGCGACCGTTGATTATCTGTTGGGGATGATGGAATTCTGTTGGGAGAGTGGGTCCGAATACAAGAGGGTGCGGACCTTGGCCTGGTAGTGCTGGACCACCTCCAGTGCCTGCCAACAGGTGCACTGCGAGGATGCCACTTCCGCAATCTCTATCGCACCTTCAGCTGGCCTGTCTTGCCTCCATTGCTGCCTGCTCCTGCGCAGCACCAGCACCCAGCAGCACCTGCCACAACATGGGAACTCTCCTTTCCAAGGGGTCGGCCTCTACAAATTGACAGGATGGTTGGTTGGCCCAAGGCGCCAAGGTTTCAGGGTTCTCGGGCTCATATGCCGGTACATGTGCCCCGTGCGAACAAGAAGTAAACGAATGACTAATAAATAACAAAATAAAATGCACAAGCAAATGAATGATAATACATGTATAAACGACTTTATCTATCCATCTACACAACTACGTATACAATATATATATATATATATGTATGTATGTATGTGTATATATATATATATACATACATACATACATACATACATACATACCCCAAACACGGAAGCCGAAGCGGATGCCGTGAGTTGCTTGGCCTCGGCACATGCTTTGGCGAACTCTTCCACGCTGCCATCAGCTCTCGCCTGAAACGGAAGCTGCGTGTCTCCAAACAGTAAACCGATGCAGTTGGGAGGGGGCGATTCTGAACAAAGGCTTCGACATCTGGCACGAATCACGAACCATGTAAATCCATGCATTCACCACTTGCTTTAAGCTCCTTCACGACGTGGCTCGGCTTTCCCTGCACCTTAAAGGCTCTTGAATTACGGCCACCGACCTGGGCAAGCGGCACTTACAAGTGGCACATGGAAGGGAAATGCCCTCGTTGACCACGACAAGCCCGGCCCTCGACGAACTCCAAAAGGCTACGACGGACGAAATTTTTTTTGGATGGTATGAAGGCGCATCGCGCCAGGGCCCGTCGCAACCGCCGGCATGGGCTGGCCGATGCAGGAAGCGTTTCTGCGACCCGCCCGGCGCTTCCCAACCCCACTTTGCGCCGGCAACCCACCGCCAAGTTCAGCAGCTCGTCGGCCGCGTCGTTCACGTCGAATCGCCTACGACCTTCGACCAGCGCCAGGACCTGCGCCATGGATCTCGAGCACGGAGAGGAACGCGCAAAGAGCTCGAGGAACTCCGCCGGTGCAACGGCGAGTCATAGAAGCGGTAGCCGAGGCGGACGATGTATCCCCATCCATTCCAATTCCGGCCCCTTGATCCCGGCCGCACCGACCCGCCAAAGGCCTGGTCTCGCCAGCTGGTAGAAGCCGTGGCGCAGATGATGGCCGCTGAGGCGCCGTTGTGGATGTAGGGAACGACCTTGGGCTGGATGCGACCGTAGCGATATCAGCGCCGCGCGAAGACCCACAGACAGATACCTGGGCGTAGACCGGCTGCAATGCGGCTGTCCCCGCGGCACCGGAGGTGGACTAAGCCGACCCGCCAGTTTGTTGGCGACGTGCGGCACACCAGTCTTCGACACCCACGCCGATCTGACACCGGCGGGCAAGCGGGGCCGACGACATCGAGGCATGCCTCCTGCGCCAGTTGGAGCCGACGGGTTGCGGCACCTACGAAAGCTAGGGCATAGGCGCGCTGTCGCTCGGAGACGCAGGAGGCTAAACAGAAACGTGATGCAACACTCGCCACAAAAAGAAAGCAGAGTCCACAAGGCTGCGTGGATGCAAGCACATATGTAATGCAATGAAGTTTGAACCTGTAAGATGGTAATAGCAATGCTGTCCCTGACACTGGCCCACATGTCGTAGTAGTGCCTTGACCGACCTCATTGCGTGTCGGAGTGTCCCTGAGTCAGCAACAACTCGGCCATCTATGAACAGGAGGTGGTGGGGGAGCCTCGTCAGTGGCTGCGGCTCTAAATCAATAATTTGCGCGGTGCCCCCCGTTTCTCGTTTAACTATTGTGAACGGACCAGATAAGGTCCTGCATGCAATTTTGACCTTGATCTCTACTACCTAAGTGTATGGTAAACGACAACTCCTGCAAGCTCCACAGAGCTAGCTTTCGTGGCAATTCTTGTGTTACACCTGAACTATCCTGAACCAACGAATGCCGTAATCCTTTAGCGTCCTTTGATCACCCCAAGCCATCTAAAACCCTAGCCTAAACCACAAAAACCCTGTACACCCTCTCCGAAGTGCGAATCGCATGTGCTTGAGTGGTCGAATTGCACTTCAACGTCATGGAGCTTCGGGCGTGTAGCTCGGGTATTGCCGACCACGACCACAAAAGATCATGCATGCTGCATACTCAATGCCAGCAGATCGACATGCCGGTGCCTCGAGCGACTCGGCATGTAGTTCGGCCTGGAACGAAGCTCATGACGGCACATGGTGGTAGACCAAAACGTCATGTACATCCCTCCCAACAGTCTGGGCTTGCCTCGGCAGTCGCATACCTCGCCTGCAGATCCATCACTTCCTGTCGAAAGGAACTCGACAGAACCAGTTGTGGGTTTGTTCTTTCGATGTCCTGAAGCATCAAGCTGCAGCTCCTGCAACTGCTGTCTCCGAACGTGCCTGGCAACAGCACCCAAGCTGCTTTTTCGAAGCTGTGGAATCTCGTTCTCCAGAACATCTCACGCGTTCATGGTAGGCCTTGGGTTCGCTTCGCCTCCTGTCGCTTCGACGAGAAGGAACACGCAGGGTGCATAGGTGTCACTGTCGTGTATTTCTGCAATCGTCCTCGGCTTCCCCTAGAAGCACTCCCAAACCCAGTGAAACCTTCAGAGCGGCGCACGCGATGAGCACCTGGGTCCCTGGGTTCTGTGGTCCCGACCTCCTTGCACTGTTGCCTCCGAGCCTTTCAAAGACGCCAAGCAAGAGTTCTCATATCGAGAAGGACTAGCCTAGCTGAGAGCCTGCTGATCTGCACGCAAGGCAGCCAGAAGAGAACGAGCATCCGCTGCAAGCTGTACCGTCAAGTCCTTGAATGCCAGCTAGCAACGTTATTAAGGAGCATGCCGGAGCGATGGGAGCACTTGAGCGCTGCGCGTCCGACTGCTCAGGCGCAGTCGTGGTGATGGCCTCCAAGAGAGCTCGCCGACATGCACCGACACACGCGCAAGCATCGCAAGCGCACAGCTTTTGCCGACCGGGTCGCAGGCCAAGGGTCTCGGAGGTCGACAGATTCCAGGTGCACCAGGGGCATCCTACAAGCATCGGTCTGGGGAGATCGACAAGCAAGTCGTTTGATAGCCGAGGCACCGAACCGGGTTGAAAAGGCTCGTCCAATTCCATCCCTGCCTGCAGAGGTGCTACGAACACTCTGCTCGACAGTGCCAATGTTCAACCGTGCTGCCCCCGATTGAAGACTTGAATAGTCGAGAGAGCAAAGAGGAGAAACAGAGCGAACAGAGCAAAGAGGCCGGAGAACTCGGGCCAGGACTCTGGAAGTTTAGAAACCAGGTCCGCCGGAGACGAGGCTACGGACTTCATTCAAAGCAATCGCATTCCCTGTACCTCGTACTGGCGCGGGCCATGCCATTGGGGACTTGCCACTGCGATGGCCTGCAGCGTGATTTGCTGCACTTGGCAGCGGTTTTGAGCCGTCTCAGCTGCCTTCTGCTAGTCGACCTCCAGCTGTTACATCTCGCAGCCTGCATTGAGAGGGGAAAATCCTTCACAACCTCAATCGAACAATCACAGGTATCCGGACATCCTCGCCTCCCCGGCGCCACGACCAAGCTTGACGAATGCACCACTGCCGCTTGTATTGATGCTCACTGGAGACTCTTATTGTAAAACTGAAGCAAATCCATGCGCAACAGTCAAACTTTGATTGCTGACATTACAGGGACTGTCATTAAGCACCTGCTGTGTTCCCGACTTCTTGGCTCTCTTCCGGCCATTCCCCTTGAACAGCAAGGAAGTCATCGCAAGGCGATAGAGCTGATCTCTTGATACGAACACAACTCGAGTGCAAGCTAGCAGCTAGCAGCATTCAGTCGCAACTACGGCCCGTCACGCTCAAAGCCTGCCAAAATATGGCTGTCAGACAACTCTTAGACAGTTGTCGCTTAGCTTTAGGGAGAAGCTGAAGGAGCTGGGTCAGCTGGAAAGCAAGCTGGACCGGTTGCCACAAGCCGTGACGCTGGTAGATGGAGCTGGCCTGTCTGTTTAATCTGCGGCGCGATCAGGAGTGCTTGTCAGGCACCCTGCATTCAGAGGCAAGTGAAACACGAGAGCTTGCTCGAGGCAGATTGCAGTGCCATGTAGATGTCGCATCGTTTTGCCGGCCACACCGAGCACGGTGCAGCAAAGGCTACATGAGGCTCTACGATGGCCAGCGTGCAGCAAAGCGCTTGTCCCTCACTTTCGTGCACGTCCAGCAGCTTTGGCACTCGGCGGATAGTCGACGGTCCCCACTCCGAAGCTTCGAAGCTTGTGCTGCTGCTCTCTACTGGATCCAGCCTGAAGGCAGCTTAGATGACACCCAGAAATATGCTACCCAGCTACTCGCCGAAGTCTTGGCCGGGGCGGCTGCCCTTTTTGACAAAGCGCTCGTACTCCTCTCGGTCTTGCCTTTCCACCTCAACGTTTGAACATTTGACCACGAGCTGCAATAAGAAATCCTTGCCAAGTCGCCATCCGTTGAACGCGCTCTTTCGAGTACGGGTATGGTGGAAACGGCCTGACGGAATGATGGGTCGTCCCCATCTCGGTCTTCGTATGCACACAACCGGGAGCCGGACCTTGAATCGCCCGCTTCTTTGAACATCTGGCAATACCGCAACCAGTCTTCTTCTGCCACCGCCTGGATTTGTTCCAGAGAGTGGGTCCCCCACCTTGTAGTTCCAGTGGCAGGGATGAAAAGTGCAACAGCAACAGAATTCTGATCTTTGGCTTAGCACTGAGACTTTGGCTGCTTCTTGCGCTTGAAGCTGTCATCATATTTCGCAGTCACTTCTGCGAGCTCGGGACACAAGCTGCTGATGGCAATCAGCGTTTGTGATCCGATCTTTGCATCAAGAACGTAGCCTGCACACAAGTTGTGGAAGATGTCCTCATCAGAATGGAAATCAACCCAAAAAATGCATCGGGCAGCCTGGCTCGTCTTTCTGAAGATTTGGGAAATGCTTCGGGAGCATGCCAGTAGCCATCATCTTCTCGAAATCCTGTGGATACTTCCTTGGTCTCGCCGAAGCGGCTGGCGCCGCTAGTAGCAACTTCAATGGATCGTGCCAGGACTGGAAATGGCTTGGCTGCAATCCGGGCACCAGCAATGATAGAAGATATTGCACCATCCCACAGCCCCAGGCGACAAAGATGTTCCGCCAAATCTTTGTGCGTTTACTGTCGGGAACTCCGACATCGTGCCAATCCGGTAATCGTCGTTGACCTCAGAACCCCATCACAGCAGACATACACCAAGAGGTGCGCTTGGCTGCACTTCCGCCGCGATTATCGCTGAGTGCTGTTGCTTCTGGGATTGCTGTTGCAGCTGTGGTGGTGGTGTTGGTTGCTGTTGCTGTTGGTTGTTCTTTGTTGCACATGTAACAGAGCCTGCTCGCTCAGCATCACTCACTAAAACTAGTAATAAGATTGTAATGAGCGATGGTGTTGTTGCTGGTTGCGCAACTGCCCCTGCCCCTACATGCCCTGCCCTCTTCGCCCCGCCCTTTCCTGTCCCTGCCAACTTTCTACCTCTGGCTGGTGGTGCTGGTGTTGTTGCTAGTGCTGGCGCCGACAAAATCGCGGGTACCCCATGCTCGCGTCTGCGTCTTCAGTATATCTCGGACTCCAAATCCCGAGCTCATTGAAATACGAAAAAGAAAACGCCACAGCACGCACGGGCAGCGCTCGCAACGGAGGCTGTGCAGGGCTGCACTGTGACTGGGAAGGCTTTATCGGGAACTACAGCGGAGCAAGGCTGGACACCGGCGCAAGCCGGCAGTAACTTTGGCACAGCTTGACTGGCCTCAGCAGCCTCAGCAGATACCGTAAAAAGGAAGGGCTCTGGAAAGACTTGAGGGTTCATGAGCCACGTGCTGATGCTGCTTCTGTTGCTTCTGTTGCTGCTGTTGTTGCTGGCTGTTGCTGCTGCTGGTGGTGGTGGTGGTGGTTCTGCTGCTACTGTTGTTGATGTTGTTGTTGGTGTTTTTGTTATTGTTGTTGTTGTTCCTGCTGATGCTTTTGTTGTTGCTTTTCTTATCTTCTGTAAATTTTGAAGGCCGAGTCCTTCTGCCGGGATTGGTGGGCTTTACATGTGCCGGAGCAACTCCAAGCTCTGTTGACGACATCGTCCTTCCCTTGTAGACCGCACTACCTTCAAGCAGAGCTTTACGTGCTGCCCTTTGATAAGAGCGTTTACCCTTCCCTTTAGGAACGGGCTGATGCTTGGTCGAACCACTAGGCTGTTTCGCAGCACTCATGTTGAGTACGGCTCCTGTCGGCTTCGCAATACCGACAACCCTCACCTCTGGGAGATGTTAGAGAGCTGTAAATCTAATTCTCCCTCCCGGACTTGGGACCGGGACTGCTCAGGCGCTGACAAATGCCATGGCAAGAAAGGAAAAAGGCAACTGTACTAGCCTGACCTTTCCTGAGCCGAGAATTTACAGAAGATAAGAATCTCAGCTATCTATCCTGGAACGCAGGATCTCTCACAACAGCAGTTTGGGAAGAGTTACTCTCCGTACTGCAAAGCGCCGCATTTCAGGATGTGAAGCTGGTAGCAATTCAGGAAACACACTGGAGGGGCTCATGGCAATTCAGCAAGTCAGGTTGGCACGTGATCAGCTCTGGTTCCACAGGGGAGAAGGGAGCCGGGGTCCTCATAATGGTGCACTCCACGCTGTGCAAGTCACAGGATCTTCGCTACAACGAGGTTGTTCCAGGAAGAGTTCTCCAGGTCCGGGTGCCGAGCAACGGCATCTCACTGGACGTCTTCAGCTGCTATCAATACGTTTGGCGCTCTAAGGAGACAGTCGCTCAGAATAAGGAAACCCGGAAGCAGACCCTTCACGCCCTAAGTAAGTCCATCCGAGCTGTTCCCAATCGCAACACTCTCCTTGTGCTAGGAGATTTTAACTCCTCGCTCAAGACCGACAACAAACACGTAGGGCCATGCACGATCCAGGCTTGCAGACTCGGGCATCGCGGATCTAAGGATCTCCAGACCCTACTGTCGGAGCACCAGCTAGTCGCAACCAACACTTGGGGAGTGCATAGACCAGCCACCCACGAACAAGGCAACTCTGTTTCACAGATTGACTTCTCGTTTGTCAGGATTGCACAGTCCCAAGGCCCTGCCAGGTTTTGCCGGCCACTAAGGACCTTCCCAGTGGCATCCTGGAGGGATGGTAGTAGGCATTTCCCCCTTCTTGGTAAACTGAGGCACAGCAGGAGATACTCCGCCCAAGCCTCAAAACCCTATGACCAGCAGGCAATGGAGGACTGCTACAGACACCGTTCCCCGAAAATACAGGCATTTGCCAGGGAGGTAGACTCCCTCCTTCAGGATCATCCCCAAACCTGGCAGAGTCTCCATCAAGCAATGAACTCAGCCCTCGCGACTCACTTTCCCAAGAGAAAGGGAGCAGCACAAAGATCAGATCTCAGCATTTGGGCAGAGCGCACAGTGTTGCGCTCACTCCCAATGTCAGTCAAGGTCTTAGCAGAGTTCTTGCCGGAGTTGCAGGTCCGAATGGTATTTCGCTGCTGGCTGTCGCTGTCTCAGCAAAGTGCACAGGCGAGGGTAGCAAAGCGTCAGAAGCAGGAAAGGCGACGACAGGAAATAGATGAACAACTCGAGCAGGCAGAGCTTAAATCCAAGCAAGACGGGAGTCATTCCCTCTACAAGGTGATCAAGCGCTTCCGGTCGGGGAGGCCTCAGGAAAGAGTTCAGCTACGTGACTCAGAGGGTCGCTTCCTAACAGCCAAGGAAGAACGTAGACAATTAGAGGAATACTCCATTGAACTGTTTGGAGCAGGGGACGACTTCCCGCTCACAGGGATACAAGGCAGCCTGCACATCACCGAGCAAGAAGTTCAAGAACAGCTAGGCACTATAAAGCTTGGCAAAGCAGTTCCTAAAGAAAGTCCTCCCATAGTAGCTTGGCGCTCCCTAGGCCCCAACGCTATTCGGCTCATCTCGGACACTCTCAATAGGGAAGTCACTGCAGGAAGGCTTTCGGACAGCGTCACCTCGTCACAGATCTCTTGGCTCCCAAAGCCCCCCAAGAAGCCAGATAAGCCAACATCACTCCGTCCGATCGGGGTGATAGCACCTGAGGGCAAGGTCCTGGCAGGACTTGTGAGGCAGAGACTCAAGTCCACCCTCCATCAAGCAATGCAAGGAGTCTCTCAGTTTGGCTTCGTACCAGGTAGGGGCACAGAGGAGGCGATCTGCAAGGCCCTCACACATGTGGATCAGGCCAGGTTCAGGCAGGCCCTTACAACTAGAGCGGCTGGTAAGGGACAACAGGGGCTCAAGCTCAGGGGCAGTCTCACGATGAGCGTTGACATGAGCAAAGCTTTTGACACTGTGGACAGGCTACGATTAAGAGAAGCCCTGGAAGCTGAACAAGCAGACCCTCTTCTTATAGAGGTGGTGGGCCATCTCCACATCAAAGCCTTGTACAAGATGACAGCCAGCGATCAGAGCTTTGAGATAGCCACACGCAGGGGAATCAAGCAGGGATGCAAGCTTGCACCTTCCCTATTCGCCTTTGCATCCGGGCTTCTCTTTAGGAAGCTCTCTGGAAAAATCAGCCCCCCCGAACTAGTTAAACTTCTCACCATGTATGCGGATGATAGCTTGATTCAGTCGCATTTCGAGTCTGAGTCTGGCCTCATTACAGCACTAGGGTACTGCGACCTTCTTCTGGATCAATTGGTTGAACTTGGGTTCAAGGTCAATCCGTCCAAGTCAGCAATACTGCTGCAGCTACAAGGAGGTTCAGCCTCGACAATTAGGAAAAAGCTATTTCGCCAGGTAGATGGAGAGAAGTTTGTGGAACTCCCTTCGGGCAAGTTGATATCGCTGCGGTACCAGGTCCCATACCTGGGGGTCATTCTTTCTTATCATGACTATGAAATGAAGACCCTTAAACATCGGCTGTCATCCAGTAAGCTAGCAATGTCAGAAGTCGCCCATGCAGTTAGGAACCATCGAGTCCTATCAGACAGACGTCGTCTGTCAATTTGGACAATAACTGCGTGGGCCTCTGCTCTGTATGCCCTTCACGTGGTAGGACTGACACAGCAGGGATTGCAGAAGCTCCATTCACACATGATGTACCAACTTCGGTTTGTCCTGCGGAGCTACTCCCAGGAAACGAAGGAATCCAACCAGGAGTTACTCCGGAGAGTACGGATTCCTCACGTGAAGGAGCAGCTGCAAAAGAGGCTGACACAGTTCATTAAGAGACAGCAACACTCAGATCCTCAGCTCCTCCCACACTACAAGCTGCGCGCTGAGGCAATCAGCCAGGCTCTGGAAGGCCTTGCCATTGACTTCTCCTCGCAATCAGTAGAGGATAAGATCCTGACCTGCGGCGAGTGTGGAGCATGTCTCTCTGGTACCGGGGCACTCCGTCGCCACCTGCAGAAGGCCCACCCAGACTCGCAGCAAAGCTTGAAAGGACCCAAATTTGACCCTATTTTGCATTCAATGCCAGGGTCAGCAACTTGCATCGCCTGTAGAGCAACATTCCGAACAGTGTTCTATCTGCGCAAACACGTCGAAGCATCTACATGCCCTCGGGTAGAGCTCTTGCTTCGACAGCAGGAAGAGCTCCCTCTAGAAGCCCAGAACCGGATTTCACTTACAGAAAGTCTACAGTCTGATGCTCAGGAAAATCCAGAAGGAGCAGCTCGAAATCCGGTGTTCCATGATTACCTGATGGAGCACTGTGCACTCTGCGGTCAGGTCCTTGTTGGTCAGAAAGGAGCCAAACAGCACCTAAACAAGCAGCATCCTGAAGTGATGGCCAAGCTTGAGAAAACTCTCCAACCAAGACTTGCTCAGTTCAAGGTCTTCTTTCACAAAGGAGATAGCTGTCGTTATTGCAAACTCCGTGTGGATGCCCCGGGTAGACATGCTCAGCAGTGCGTTCCACTACTGCAGGTGCACGTACTGCAGGAGGTAGCGCGTCAGCAGCTCAGTAAGCAGCCCCGAGAATATACTCGAGCAAGGCCCACGACCTCGGCGAAGACAGCCACAAAGAAGCCCACAGATTCAATGCCAGGTATTCCCCTTCCCGAATTTAGACTGGAAGGCTTTCTCCTGCTAGCCAACACTCGCAACCACTGCTATGCCAACTCAGGTCTACAGTGTCTGCACTGGCTATCTGATCCCACAGAGGCGCCTTTTCACGAGGCATCTCGGATCAGTCT